ATATATATATATATTATTTGGTACAGGGTCTCACTCCACAGGTTGGACTTGTAGTGATTCTCCTGTTTTCATCCTCTCCAGAACTGGGATTACAGGGGTGCATCACCACACTTGGTCTCGGTGGTGGCTCAGTGCACCCTAGGACAGGGCTGGTGCAGCATGTGCAAATCATATTTAAACTGAACTGAAAACAGATTGTTGGTTGGTAATTTGAATCTCTAGGTTCCCAAGCTAGTGTGATAAAAGTTGCCTTCTAATTCTTCAGTGCAGAGTCTTCTATTTGGTTTGATACTGCTTTTTCTGCAACAGGACAAAGTCCAAATTAAAGTAGAATGAGAATAAAATGAGGTATCTGAAAGTGGAAAATTAATCACAGATACTTTTTCAGTTTAAGAAGTGAAAAAGAAATTAGGTGATAGTAGAGTTTAGAAATGTAGTTTTAGTTGGCTGGTGCTTGGTAATTTTTAAGACATAAAATATGTATTATGTGAAAATTTGCAGGAAGAATCCAGGAGCAAGAGTAGACAACAGAGGAAGAGAATGAACAATTGGTGGTATGTGGTTGATAAAATAACTGGGGAAGGGAATGGGACCCAGGGCACATGTGGAGTAGGACTTTTTTTTTTTTTTTACCAGCTTTTTTTTTTTTTTTAAACATTTATTTATTTATTTATTTGTGTGTGTGTGTTTGTGTGTGTGTGTGTGTGTGTGTGGCCAGCTCAGCCCACCAGGGGGCGGGGCTGGCTGGCATGTGGTGCTGGGGGATTGAACTGCGGTCCCTGTGCATTGCCAAGCTTGTTTCAAGTAGGTGCTTTAGACCACTGAGCCATCTCTCCAGCCCCTGAGCCATCTCTCCAGCCCCTGGAGTAGGACTTTAAGATAAAAGGAATCCTTCCATTCTCTCAGCGTGGTAGGGGACATTGGATGCAAGCTTAGGTAGTTTAATTGCAGTCTAAGATGGTTACAGACCAAAAGCTCACATTCACTAGGGAAAAGGATGTCACACCTTCTTTCTTAAGTGGAGAGGAGAATTGAAGAGTTCAAGAGGCTGGATATGCTTTTAAATAGTCTTTTTTGGAAAGTTTGAGGCAGCTAGAAAGTAGTATGTCTGGCAGGCAATTTGAGTTGATCTGTAGTCTTCACAGGTTTGGGGATTCTTAAATTGCTAGCTTTGTAACTAGCATTCTATAGGGCCTACAAAAATCACAGTCACAACACTAGAGATCAGAGTTAAAGCCAGTTATCCTAGGTATATATCACTTTTCCCTTCACTGGACAGGTATTTGTATTCATCTGTTCACTAAACAATGGTGGGATCCAATATCTGAAGAAGTATGTAACGGTACAGCACTTTGTAGACTGAGGGAGAAGGATCCCTGTGGGTTGAAGGCCAGTTTGAACTACATAATGAGACTCGGTCTCAAAAACAAAGAAGAAGAAAAAAAAGTGTTGCTGGCTCCTTCAAAGGAATGAACAAATTGCGACTGTTCTGTGTATAAATCTTAAGAATTTAAAAACTGAATTTTTTTTTGTTTTTAGTTTTTTTTTTTTTTTTTTTTTTTACATTTCTTATTTGGTCAAATTCATGAAAGTAGAGGATAATTTTAGTCAGCATCAGCTTCATTACAAAAACCTATATCTGTCTATTTTACTCAGTGGGTTAATACTCTCCAGTACGGTAGCTGCTGCTCATATGCACCACCTAAAAGGTAATATAAATCAAGTTCAAAGAAATGAAAAACACAGTGCCTCTGATGCTTCAGCCTTAGTTCTAGTGATCAGTAGCTTCAGGAGAGTAATGGCTTCTATGTGCGTGCACGGATATAGAACATACCTCCAAAGGCTAGCACAGTATTCGCTTCCACTCACTGGCCTGCTACACTGTCAACGGCTGACTCAAAAGTAACATCACATTCCCTGTTCACAGCCACCTCCTCCCGCAGGACACCGCCCACCGGCCACAGAGCTGCAGTCCTCCACACTTCCTAGAGGGGCACATCCAGCCCACTTCCGGTGCGCGCGGCGCGAGGCTCTGCCGCCTGTGTGGGGGCGGGGGCGAGGCCCGCCGAGGGAAGTGCGAGTGGGAGGTCCTAGCTCATCTGTCTCTGTGGCCCTCGGCGGCCTTCTGTCCCGGTTGGCTCCTGAGGCTGTCCCGCCGTCCGCCTGGCCCGGGCTCCCTGTCTGCCGGCCGTCGGGCCGCCCGCCCTCGTAGTGCCTCCTCCGCCGCCTTCGCTCTTCGGACTCCCGCAGCAGCGAGCCGGCTTGCGGCGTGCCGGGCCTCCGCCTCTGTTCAGGTCAGAGCTCGCTCCTGGGCCGGGGCTCAGCCCTCCTCTCGGCTTGCCCAGTTTGGGCGAGGTGCTCAGTCAGACGCCCCGAGAGCGCCTTCTCTTGGTAGTTCTGCAAAGGAGCTGAGTTAGGTAATAAAGTGTGTGCTACTTACTGCGGGCCTCGTTACTTTTAAGCCCTGTAATGGCAAGGACATTCTTACCTCTTGGCTTAGCCCCTCGCACATGTCTGCACAGATTGGTCCTCGGGAGATATTAAAGAAATGTATGAGAAAACGCAGGACTCTTGTAAAGGGCGCTTTGATTTGGCTGGGAATGCAGGTGATGGCAGGCAGCGTGGACCTAGGCGTCAGGCCACTTCATTTGAGAGCAGGCCAGACTCGTCACTTACAGACTGCTGGGCCATTGCGTGTGTTCTCTTTTCTTCAACCGTTGAGCTTACACCTTAGGACGATGTGAGGATAAAGTGAACTAGCACTTAAAGCAGGTGCTGGTGTGTGTAAGAGAGGCGCGGCTGGGGTTTGCTGTGACAGCCAGGCAAACATTGTGTTACATTAGAGTGGAGACATCTTAGTTCCTCTCCGAGGCTGTCCCGAAGCGCCCTGCAGGTTTCCTCTAGGTTACTGGGAGGAACAGTGAAGACCAGGGATTTGCCTTCTCCCAGAGGGAGGGACTTGTACCCAAAGCCAGAGCTCCACCTTACAAACCCCACCCCCACCCAGGTGCTGGATAAGTGCTTTCCTGGACTACGTAAACAAGTGACAAGTCAGTCTAGGCATCAGACCAAAACAGTTGGTTTATCCTTTCACTGAGAGGGCTTTCTCAGATGTTCACACTAGAAGGTAGTGGGAGCTCGCCCCTTAGACATAGAGGCACCTCTCTCCAGATTTGTGTTATGGGGTGTTGGACCTCAGGGCACTCGTGCTGACTTTTACTGGCTTGTGTTCTTCTCCAATAAAGCCTTCTGTATAAGCTGTGCCTTGTTGTTTGGAATTTGCTCTTAACCTTGCCTCACCTCTTACCAGGCCTTGAGTGTCTACTGGGCCCCATTGTTTTAAAATGTAAATTTTGTTATTTAGGCACTGTGAGAACAGATCAGGAGCTGAGTGCTGTTGAAAAGATAAGTTTCTTTCACTCTTCAAGAGAAGGTTGCCTTCCTTGGCAGGGAAGCTCCTTGGAAGGGAAGCTTCTTGGAAGGTACAGGGAGTGGGTGGAAAATAGTAAGAGCTTTTACTGTGGTCTCTGTGGACAGGAACAATGAAGATAGGGCAAGCAAGTGTAGTTTGATCAGTATGAAAAGATTCAGTGGACTCTGGGGCATTGAAGTTGTCTGCAGTTTGGTATCACACCCTGAAGTGATGAGGGATGAGGTGTCCTGAGGGGGACAGCCTGACAGGAAAGGTAACGGTGGTGTGGGTCTTAGATCTGCTGGTTTCCATTTGAAAGGCATGCTGACAGGTGAGTTGCTTGTCATTTCTAGGAATTGATTAACCTTGGGAGTGACATCCCATGTCATCAAGGTGCCAGCTGTCAAATCTTTGAAGTGATGAAAGACAGGTTTAATACGCCAAACAGTGCTATTCGGATGTTTTATATTATTTCCAAGTTCTATAACTGTGATGTTACGTTATTAGCTCTGTTTTTAGGAGAGGAAATGGGGCCTGAGAAAGGTTTGGTTAGTGACTAATATCTGACTAATGCCATACACTCAGTAAGAGACTTCAATGTGAGTTTAACTAGGGTCACCTAAGTCCAAAGCTGGTTGTCTATCTGTGAGCTGGAATAGTGCCTTCCAGGTTAAGATGCTGTGGGAGCATATATAGTCCACATCAGGCACATGACAATACCATATTGTCATTACCATATTGACCACTATGGCTTTGAAATTTGTTTGACTACAATTCTATTAATCTTTTATATAAGGTATACTATGATTCATTTGTTAGACTGATAGAGATGTAATAGTAGAATCATTGATCTACTGTATCTCAAAACATTTGTAGTTATGGATAAAACAAGTAATAGCCAAGTAGTCCCAAAAGTGTTTATATGGACAAAGTGAGAGAAACATCTGGAGGGAAAGAAATGCAGTTTTCTTTTAGTTTTGTTTCTGCGACTCCTGGCTGTGACATAGAGGGGAGTGTACCCATGCAGGAGGTGGAGAAGGAGCAGAGATGATTCTTTTATGGTTAGGAACTTCCTTGGACCTCACAACCATGGAGGACACATAGGTGAGGTATACCATCTCTAGTACAAAATGAACAGTATCATAGACATTGGAATTAAAAGACAAGAGGCTGGGGCCAGGAAGATAGCTCAGTGGAATACGCAGCTGCCTGGCAAGCACAGGGTCCTGAGTTCCATCCCTGGCACCAAAAAAGACAAGAGGCATAACATATATTAGTGATCACTAAGTGAAGGACACAAATCATTGTGATGCAGCCCAGGTAAATGCTAGTCATATATCCATGCACAGATGTGACAGTTTCTCACCTCTTGATTTCCTAAATGCCAACTGTTACATAAAGAGCTGCCTGGGAGGCTGTGCCGGGGGATTGCAAGTTTGAGGCCAGCATTAGTGAGACCCTGTTTCAAGATAAAGAAAAAGGACAGATCATATAATTCATTGCTTCCAAGGTTTAGTATCCAAGACTGAACTAAAAAATAAAATCATTGGTATACTAAAATATTAAGAAGAAACTCAACTTACCTTGTAGAAAGCATCTTTTTATTTATTTATTTATTTATTTATTTAGTGTGTGTGTGTGGCCAGCTCAGCCCACCAGGGGGCGGGGCTGGCTGGCATCTGGTGCTGGGGGATTGAACCGCGGTCCCTGTGCTTTGCTTAGCTTAGCTTGTTCTAAGTAGGTGCTTTAGACCACTGAGCCATCTCACCAGCCCAGAAAGCATCTTTTTAATATCTGATGAAGTGTAGCTCAGGAAATGCTTTATAGGCATCTCAGATTTAATTTTCTTTTTTCTGTTTTGATTTTGTGGATTTGTTTTATTCACTGGGATTTAGGGCATGGGATGCAAAATGCCACCTTGTGGCACTCCCCACTCTTGCCCCAAGGGAATGTCCATTCTAATCCTCCTAGTATGTTCTTTGAAGCTTTTTCTTTTCTTGATTCTGCCCTTGCTGGCAGCAGCCTCCTCAGGCCCACTACTGACTGGCTCTTCCTTGGAAGACAGTTCTTTTTTTCTTGGGGACACTTCTGGCTGCCTTTTCTGGTTCACCACTTGTTTCCTCCTCGGGTGAAAATTTTTTCTTTTTGAATGGACTTGGGCTGCCACCAGCTGTCTCTTCCAGGTCACTACTAATCAACTCTTCATTGGAAAAAGATTTTTCTTGGGTTTGGAAATAGAGACAGATGGACTATCCATTCTGTTCTCCTGAGGAGCCTCCTCAAGTTTATTTTCTTTTTGTGTTTTTCCTGTGTCTCCTCATGTTTCTCTGGAGTACTACTGTTTTCTTAAGATGCCAGAGCAGCCAGTGCAGCCAGCTGCTGCTTTTCCTTCTTTAAGCGCTTCTTCTGTTTCTCTAGCTTCTTGGTGATTTCAGCAGTGGCTTCCTCTGCCTGAACCATTGCTTCCTTCATAACATCCACATTCTTCCATGGAATCTGTCCAGTCTCATAGAAGGACAGGTGCTCCTTAACTTGTTCTCGAAGCTTCTCCCCAAATACACTGGTGGGTACCTCAGAGAAGTAATTGATTCTGGAGGCAGTACTGCACATTTGCCAGGTATTGGGAGATGTGGCCTTTGTTCCTGGCAGCTGCTCGGCCAGTGAAGGTAGAGTGGAAAATGAGTCCATATTTTGGTGTGTTACCCCTTGTCTTCAGGGCTCTGGAAACTTTGGCCCTTTGCTGGGCCCTGGGAATCACTCAGACACCAGGAATGGTAATTTTCTTGATAGCTGAAAAACAGACACCACTATCCTCCAGTCATCAGGAAAGGCCACAAACTTCAGTCCTTCAATCCTGTCTAAACCTTTTCTGGTGTGCTGTACTGTCAAATTGCTTTCTATATATTTTGACTCCCATAGCTCAGGACCTCAATGTCTCCTGGCCAAATGGTTGCAATAAACCTTCTGTGTCTTTTCCACATCACTCTCCCAGACATCCCTGTGGCCATAGGAATCTCCTATACTAAACCAGACCCTTGATGGGTGGCTGTTACTTTACATATACCTCTTCTTGCACTATTCCTTAATTACTTCCTAGGCTCTAGAACAGGGTTAAGAACCCTGTTATGTCCTGGCTATGTGTCACAACAACGTGGGGCGCTGACTGCAGCTCCATCTTGGAGATTGTGACTCAGTGACTCTGTCATTGGTTGATGCTCTATGGCTGACTCTGAGGTAAAGCCAGAGGTGACCACCATTAGTCCAACCTCTGCAAACCACATTGGACTTCTTCAGTGGGCCACATGCTGTCACAGCCCATCTGTTTTACTGAATGACATTCCTCTGCATCTTCGCCTGGCACACAGATCAGATTCTACTCAGATGTCTCCTCCAGGTAGTTCTCTGTGGTTCTTCCAGCTTTTCTCTTCTTGCTCTTGGTTAGTAGTCATTTCGTTGTGCTTACTATACTTGGATTTATCACTGTGTGTGTTCACCTGTCATTTTCCAGAGTGAACTAAAGAGTGCTTGGAGACAGAACCTGTTTCCTGAGACCCTTGCTTAGTATACTGCCTAGAACATAGTGAATATACAAGTATTTTTTGAAATAGTAGATGAAAGAATCTACTTCCCTTTTCCTTGTATCATGTCAGAACTTTGTGAATTAAAGTTCAAAATAATGTTCCTTATTTGTACATTTGTCACTGTTATCCATGGTCCCTTTTTAACATTTCACCATCATTGCACGTACTTAAGAGGTGGGCAACCCTAGGTTCATATGTTTGACCAGTTTGGGGCCTTGGAGAAATCCATACACTTTTTTAAATTTTTTTTATTTTTTAAAATATTTATTTATTTTTATTTATTACATTTATTTATTGTGTGTGTGTATGTGGCCAGCTCAGTCCACCAGGGGGCGGGGCTGGCTGGCATGTGGTGCTGGAGGATCGAACCGAGGTCCCTGTGCTTTGCCAAGCTTGTTTCAAGTAGGTGCTCTAGACCACTGAGCCATCTCTCCAGCCCAATCCATACACTTTTAAGAAGCTCAGTTGCTTTGTATGTTAAACATGAGGATGCTAACACTATTGTTATTGTTATCCCCAATAACATAGTATTTCTAAGCTGCCTGACATAAAGTAAATGTTTGTTAAGTAAGCTTCTCTGCTTTGGGGGAGAACCCATTCCATACTGGCAAGTATTAAGTTTTTCACATGCAGAACCCAGTGATACTGCTCACTGCCTGTGTCACTTTCATTGCACAGTAGGTTGGATCTGGAGGGGTCCCGTGGGTTCAGGGAAGCCGGAAGCTCTCCCACACGCTCGCTGGGCCTGTGCTGGGCTGGATCTGGGGTCTTAGTAGCCTCCTTTGATGAATGAACGTGTGATTGTCCTCAAAGAGCACTATTTATTATCCCTAATGTCCCGAACACCCCTAACTGTACTCCTGAAGGTCGAATTGGTTTCAACAATACCAAAATTTTGCTTCACATCTTGACAAAATCTTGAATCAGATGATCTAAGATAAATCATTTTTATGAAAGCTGCCTTTTAGTAAGTTTTCTTGATAGGGCTGTGTTCCCTGGTAACTGGAGTTCAAAACCTGGTATTTACATTCAAAGCACCTGTGTAACATGAGCACTGTCGGCCTCAGGGACATCCTGAAGAGCTGGAATTCAGAAGGAATCCCACAGACACAAGGCTCCACCACCTCCTTACAACAGCTGGGCAGGCTTTTCAACTCCCTCTGCCCGGAATGTCAGGAGAGGCCTCAGCCTTTTCCTGCTATGCTCCAAGAGAAGAAGAAGGACTTACAGTTGTGAAGGTTGAAGAAGAAAATTATGTTTGGGGGAAGGACTCTGTCCTTGAGGGAGGCTCTGAGAGTCAGGAGTTCTTCCGCCAGCGTTTCAGGCAGTTTGGTTACTCAGACTCTGCTGGACCCCGGGAAGCGCTGAGACAACTCCAGGAGCTTTGCCATCAGTGGCTGAGGCCAGAGGTGCACACCAAGGAGCAGATCCTGGAGCTGCTGGTGTTGGAGCAGTTCCTGGCTATCCTGCCTGAGGAGCTGCAGGCTTGGGTGCAGAGGCAGCCGCCAGAAAATGGAGAACAAGCTGTGACTCTGCTGGAGGAGCTTGAGAGAGGAGTTGATGAACAGAGGCAACAGGTAGGAAGCAGTATTTTCATTTGTTCCTTGGACTTATTGTAGGTTATTGCCATTGTGAGTAGCATGAACTGGGCTCTCGGAATTATTCAACTTCTGTATTGGTGTATTAAGTATTCATCTATTGGTTGAAGTTACAAGGGACTGTAGTGGTTGTTTTCTCTGTAACTCTAAGCATGTGTCTGATTCCGCCTGTCCTTCCCCATTGCTTGAGGCGCTTTGATTTTTTTGTAGCCTGAGAATGATAGTGCTTTTCTTGCTTACTCCTAGTACATAGCTGATTGCCAAGAAATGATCTGGAAGGAAATGACACCCATGGCAGATCTGACGTCTCTGTGTAGCTTACCACAGCCCCTGGAGAACCAGTGCAAGAGTGAGACTCAGGAGCCTCAGGGTTTCTATGGGAAAGGTAAGGACCCCACATCGCTCAAGGTTGAGGACAGTGGAAAGGGCTGTCACACTTCCCATGGCTCATTCACAGTAAGTGTTGTAAGTACAAACCAAACTCCAAACCGCACAGGAATAACAAAGGGAGTCTGTGCTGAGGCTCTTGGAAGAAATACATCTGCAGGAGGGAGCTGTGTCCTCCCTTCCTGGTGGGAATGAGGTCCACATTCTGTTCCAGAGGATGAGGCATGGCCCTGATGGAGGAGATGCTCAGTGAAGTGTTGAGCTCTTCCTCATTGAGGAATGAGTGTCTGAGGCCTGAAAACCTCCACGGGAGGTGAAACCGTGGACAGTTTGCTGGGAAACTGCTCAAGAGGATGGCAACCCTAAGTGTCCCACATGCTGCAGGAACAGAGCATACCAGATCTAGAAAGAAAAGCCTAATCCTCCTCCATTTGGTCTCTGGCCCCCTCTTCTGATAGAGGCCACATGTTGCTAGTATTCTGAGTTTGTCTGTGAAAGGCAGATTTCAAATGAGGAAGCAATAAATCCATAGCCTGGATTTCAAGAGTACATCTGGATATAAACTATAATACTCATTATTTTCCCTATACTTTCACTGTTGAGAGTCATGAGTTTGGTTAGTAAGAGTCTGTTCTAAGAAATAAATAAATTTATTTAATGATTGATTTGCTTCATAAGGACCAAGCCTGAGGGACAGATCCTACTGTGGTGATGGAAAATCCTGTAGTATGTGTTCCAGAGGTAGCTGCATGGTATCATTGAAAGGTCGACAATGTTTGCCATCACTGTCCTGGACCTTGACAGTTCACCAGAAAAAATCCATGTCCCCATCTAACAAGTTCTCTTCTGAAACTGACTATGTTTCCCTCATACATCCTACCCTAATACTTCCCTCTCAGATATTCTCTGTGCCAAGTGGGAGCTACATTAAAATGCATTTTGAAAAATCATCTACTCCCCTGTCTTTTGTCATTGTTTTGAGGCTGTGGAGCACAGATTGGCCTTTAACTTGCTTATGTGGTCCAGACTGGCCTAGAAGTCTTGGTCCTTCTGCCTGAGCCTCCGTAGTGTTGGGATTATTGGTGTATGCCACCACACACCGATTACTAGTTACTCCCTTATTTTAAAGCAGGTAAATGACAATGTTAGCCAGTTTTTCATCACTATAGTGAAATACCTGAAGTTGCTAATTGTAGAACAAAAGGAGTATTTTTAGCTCATGGTGTTTGTAGATTCATTTCTGGGATACCCTCTGCTTTGTCATACCACAGTAATGATGACAGGTGACAAGAACACATGTAGGATGAGTGATCACAGTTTGTGGCAGGAGGCAGAAAGTGAATTAGGTCAGGTTTAGGCACTTATAACATTTCTCTCAGAAAAACAAACCATGAGAAATATCTTAATCCTTTTCAAGAGCAGAACCTCAGTTGACCACTTCCAGCTCTTAGTGGTTCCATCGGTTCCCCCATGGCCACACTGGGACCCACTTGCCCATACAAGAACCCTGCACATGAGCAACACCTAGGGGGAAGCAATGTCTGAATCACTTAGGGTAGATTATTTCTGATTTCTTTTTCAAGGTCTTGAGGGATAGAGACTCTACTGTAATTTAAGTGTTTGGAGGTCTTTGTATATCTGGAAAGTGTGTATAGAGACAGGGTTTTGCTGTATAGCCAAAGCTGGCTCTGTCTTCATGACCTATGTTCCAAAACTCTTCACTTCCTCATATTGTCATCTTGGTTTACGATTTTAACATGTGTATTTTTGGAACTGCACACATTCAGATCACAGAAGGAGCCAATTCTCAAAAGCAGTTAAGGGAAAGAGGCATCATAGCTATAATGAGGTCTGGGTGGCTGTCATAGTAGCTAAGGCCACATCCTTTTATTTATTTATTTGTGTGTGTGTGTGTGTGTGTGTGTGTGTGTGGCCAGCTCAGCCCACCAGGGGGCGGGGTTGGCTGGCATGTGGTGCTGGGGGATTGAACCCGCGGTCCCTGTGCTTTGCTAAGCTTGTTCTAATTAGGTGCTTTAGACCACTGAGCCATCTCACCAGCCCCATAAGGCCACATCTTTAGCCAACATGATTTTAAGGTAAAGAGCAATACTAGGGGGGTCCCATAAGGAGTTGTAATGAGGAAATCGGTGACTTTTTTCTTCTCCAAGAGCCATGTATAATGTGTATCCCACCATTTAGTTCCTAGATTTTGAGTGTTTAATCATTATTTGTGTACTAACTTTTCTAAGTACTCAAATGACTGTTATGTAGTTTAATTTTTTTTTTTTTTGGTACCATAAATCAAACTGAATACCTTTTGCTTCCCAGGAAGCTTCTTGTGCCACTAAACTATATTCTGGCCCTCTTAACTTTTAATTTCTGTCATTTTGAGGAATGACTTTAGTTAACTGTTTATCTAATTTTTGTAGAATCATAAATATGTAGGTGAAAAGCAAAAATCTTTCAGCTTTTCTGATTTATATATCTGTGGTCACAGATTTTTCCTGGTTTCATGTATTTCTTTGTATTTGTGATTACAGTATATGCATTTTAGGAGGCATCATACCACTGAATTAACACTCATCTCATTTTGGTTTTAGTTTTACTTCGATGTAGTCTCACTAAGTTTTTCAGTCTGGCCCCAAACTTGTTAATCACTGTGCCTCAGGATTCTGAGATACTGGGAGTGAAGCTTGGACTACCACTATTCCTACCTCAGTATCATAATTTTACTTCATATACTTATGGAATTTGAAGAAGTATTATACTTTATTTTGGTTTTTCTGAGGTGAAGTGCTGGGTTTACAGACCTATACCACCACTGCAGGCTGAAGAAGCATTTTAAATCCTATACATTATATTGTTTCTTGTGTCTTATTCTATTGTACATATTTATTTGATCCCCTTGGAACTTTCCTAAAACAGTTGCCTTCATGCTTTCTTACTTCCTATCTACCTACTCTTGTCCAGTGGTAATCTCCAAAGTATGTCTTCTGCTCTTACTTTGCCCAAAATGCCACAGATGCAACACTCTGGATGTTTTTATCCTGTTTATTGTGCATAATGTCTTTTTTTTTTTTTTAATTAACCAAAGTATCTTTTCTGATAATGTGGAAGTATTTCCTAGCTTCCTCATTTTTCACTGATGCTCCTATTTGTCACCTCAAGCATTTTTCCTGGTTCACCATTACTCCTCTCCCATACTGCCTATAATTTGTTGTCTACTCTCTGATGGGCTCACCTCCACCTATCCCAGATTATTCTTTATGCTAAACTGACAAGCTAGTTCTGAGAGTTTTTCTCTTAATAATAAAATGTTTATTTCATTTGCTTTACTTTGTTCTAGTACAATCATTTCCTTCCAAAATGAAGGCTAAATTAAACGTGCATTTTCTGTTCACATTTTTAGATGGCAAGATGGTGAGTGATAAAGTGTTGACAGTGAAAGAAGAAATTATTGAACATGTATCATCTGCAGCTCTGATATCTTCAAGAATGCTCCCTGGTAAAATTGCTTCAGGACAAATAGTCAAGGCTTTGGGAGATCTGGACAGTGCTGAGAAGCAGAGGAGTAGTGTTGCATGCAAAACAATGAGTCAACTCCCTTCCCAAGAAATACATGTTAGTATGGTACCTGTCAGCAAGAAAATCCCCAGAGAACAGAGCATCTTTCAGTGTAACAGAAGTGAAGGACATCTTAGTCTAAACTCAAATGAAATTCCAAGTAAAAAAATTCACACAGGGAAACTCTATGAGTGCTTTGACTGTGGGAAAGCCTTTTGCCAGAGCTCAAAGCTGATTCGACATCAGAGAATTCATACTGGAGAGAGGCCTTATGTATGTGTAGAATGTGGCAAAGCTTTCAGCTTGAGCTCAGATCTCGTTAGACATCGGAGAATTCACAGTGGTGAAAAGCCCTATGAATGTCGTGAATGTGGAAAAGCTTTCAGGGGCAGCTCGGAACTCGTTAGGCATCATAGAATTCACACTGGAGAGAAACCCTATGAGTGCAATGAATGTGGGAAAGCCTTCAGTCGGAATTCAGCCCTTGTTCAGCATAAAAAAATTCACAGTGGGGATAAAACATATGAATGTATGGAATGTGGTAAGGCTTTTGCACGGAGCTCAATCTTGGTTGAACATCAAAGAATTCACACTGGAGAGAAGCCTTATGAATGTAATGAATGTGGAAAGTCCTTTAATCAGAGCTCAGCCCTCACTCAACACCAGAGAATACACACTGGGGAGAAGCCTTATGAATGTGGTGAATGTACAAAAACATTTAGGCACAGGTCAGGCCTTATGCAGCATCAGAGGACACACACCAGAGTCTAACAATGTGGATAACAATTGTGCAGTTGTTAAATAGTTTCTTAACTTTAAAGTTTCCTGAGAGAGCCTAGCACAATTCAGTATCGTAAGAGGAGATCCACACAGAGATGTTAGGATTGTTGAAGTGTTGAGTGCAAGAATGGTAGGTATTTTCTAGAACTATGGACAGGATGAGGACTCACCAGTACCTCCTCCCCATTTTCCAACCAATGCATATAACTGCCATTAGCACTTTCACATGAAGTCCAGGATTAGGGTAGATATGGAAAGAGCTCCTAGTATGATCTTTGCCCAGCAGTGGCATTTGTGCATTTTGTATGTGGAAGCATGTGCTGAGTTGAATTATGTGGCATGTGAAAGCTGAATTACGCTCTTGGTGATTTTAATGGTATACAAGATTGTTTAATATCCAAGGAATGGTTGCTCATTGTGCCCCTTGTTGATCTTCCCCGCAGGTTTGAGCTTCCTGCTGAAGTTAATTCTGGCCTTATTTGTTGAGCTTCTGCTATGTATACCTACTTGGGATGATAGGGGCACTGACTCCCTTCATCAACTTTTTTGCTCAATGTTTATGCAAAACTCACTGTTTACTGAACAAGTGATAAAGTGAAACATGGTATGTGTTTTGCTAAGATAAATCCAGGCTCCTGTTCAAGAATAGGGCATGATATTTTACCTTATGAGTCATTGAAGATTCCTTACATGTGATCACAACAGAGTTAAAACCTAAATTGTAGGAAGTTAGCCAGGTGAAGGGCACAGGTGAAGAGGAAGTCATAGAACGTATGTGGTATAAAGGTAAGGGAGGTCTGGAAGCATCTTTTTATTAGGATTCATTCTAGCAATTTATTTTCATACTCTGGCTCAGAAGGCAAGACCTATGTTAGTTTCTCTTCCTATTTATAATCGCTGTCACAGATGAAGTGAGCTCTTAAGGCCTTCACATGCTCAGAATTTATGTGCTAGGAGACTAGTGCATTTTATGCAAAGTGTATGTATAGCAAGGAAAAAAAAATACATGTCTGGAAGGAGAATGGGAGATGGAGCATTTGTGTCCCACCACTTTGGGGCTCAGGAAATGGGAAAATTGTAGGAACACAGTAATGGGAAATCTGCCTTCCCGGGCTTCACTCTGTCACTTCCTGTGCCTTTCTCTAAGTACCAGGTTTACTCTTTAGCCACTTGAGGGCAATAAATATTTCTTGGGATTAATCCCTCAGATTGGTCAAAATTATACTTCTCTGCTAGTTTTTATTCTGATAGTTTTACTTAACCCACAGTTCCCAAAGACAATTCCTGTAGGAGTTGCATTGGAAAATCTGGTAAGCACAGATATTGTAATAGAGAATGTGCAGTTGAGTATTTGTGTTCGAAAGTTGTACTAATTATCACTGAGCAAAATCACTCCTAAATTTATTTATAGGGATTCTTCACGTGGATAAGGAGTTGCCTTTCTTATTAAATGACTTTTTAATGTTCTTATTGCGTATTGTGAATTATGCATGCTGACAATACAAAAGTATAAACATCCACAATCCCACTATCCATTAGAATTGTTAACATTTTGTAATATTTCCAATTAGTATTTTTCTCCCCTATTTCTGTTTTTGGTAACTGAATTTTACCATTTATGTTGAATACATAATTCAGCTGGTCAATATCTGAATATGATGTATAATAAAACGAGTTTTTAAGGTTTCATTTTAAATTATTTACAAGTAGGGAAAACAGCATCAAGTGTGGGTAAGTATAGAGGGTTAGGAAATGAGTGTGGGAAGTAAGGCAAGTAGGTTTTTTTCCTTTCCTGGGCCAAAAAACAGTAGAAAAATACAACAGCCAATTTCTAGAAATGCAACTGACCAGCCTCACAAAATGGACACGTAAGGTTGAATTGTGGAGGCACCAGGAAAATAAATGTGTTCAAACACATGAACATATATCTAGCACAACTAGGATTTTCCCTTTCCTATGAGGAAGAGGATCAGTTTTGCTTTAAATTTCCAATCCTCTGAGACAGTGTTAGTGGGCTGTAGAAGTGAGGGAGAACAGGGCAGACACTGCTACCTCCTAGAGTGCTTTTACAGCAAGACATCGCTGAGCAAAAAGGCATGAACTAGTTGGTGAAATAAAAATCCATTTCACAAACACACAATGTTAAACTTTTGACTGTAAAAGTCTTCCTCCTTTGGCTCCTTTCACCTAAGGTTGCAGACTTGCAAGGTAACTTGCTCACAGCTGCAGAATTCATGGGAAAGCACTAATGACCAAAGGCTTTGAACACTTCAAGGGGTATTGCTTTTCTCAACCATAAATCCTCAGGCACTTAACTTGTATTTGTATAGGGATTTATAATCTGTAGAAGCCTTTTTAAATACCATGTTTGAAGTATGCAAGTCTACCACTGTTTTATCAGTGATGAAGTTAGAGGTAAGGATGTAGCTCATTGGTAAAGTGCTTGCCTAGTTAGCATATGAAGGTCTGAGTTCAATCACTAGTGGAAAGGAGATGAAATGGTCATGCAATCAAAAGAATCAGAGTTAAGTTTGCTATCAAACTGAGACTTGGAAGGAACAGAGATGCTGCAGAAAGTTTTTATTTTATATATTTTCTCAACTATCCTAGGTTTACACTCATGTTTTTTTTTTGCAAAAATCCCTATCCCCATCCCCTCATATGAACTGTTTTTGATGCTGGGGACTGAACACGTTAAGTATTACTATACCTTCAGTCTCTTCCTGTAATATTGAGTATTAAATACTACTAAAAATTTTAGAATACAGAAAAACACAATAGAACATTACTTACACCTCCCACCCAAAGATAACCATATAGCACCTTGATATTGTGTATTTCCAGTATTTTAATGCATAAATATATATTTTACATGGAACATATTGTATGATTTAATAGTATATTATGAGTGAGTCATTTACCATTAGCTAACACCAGTTTTAACACTTTCAAGACAGTACATTCATGGATAATTTCTGAAATGTATTTCCAGGTAGAATTTTAAGTCAAAGGCAATGCTTAAGGCTTCTGGTACTGATTGCCAGATACTGTCTAGTCACATTCCACCACCAACATGCCAGTCCCAATTTCCCTGAATCTTTATCAATTTTATTGTATGTGCTATCCCAACTGTTGATTCAATACACTTTTTGTCAAGATTGAACATCCATTGTCTATTTGCATTACTTCTTTGTGATTTGTTTACTTAAAAGTTTTTCTATTGAGAGTTTTCATTACCAGGCACTATAAAATGGCTCTGTAATAGAGCTGAATTCAGAGTTTGACCTTATCAGTTTTTGGCTATAACCTTTAGCCTTTCTTTTGTCTACAAAAATATAGGCTGCAGTAAGAAATAATACATATACACAAAAGGTTACATTTCTGACATGTAAAAGCTTTCTACAGTGTTTTCCTTTTGCAGTATATTAATTCCTGTTTAACCTTTCCCAATTTGGACATTTTCTGGAGTAAAAAAAAAGTTGTACACCTTTTAGCTATTTTGTTACATTTTCCCATATTTCCCAATGATACCATTCTTTTTCTCTTCAAATATGGGCATTTAGCTCTCTTTGAATTCTTACTGGTTAGCATATATATTCAAGAGGACTGTTACTTTTGTCTTCATGAAAATTATTTTTATATGCACCAGATTTTGGATTTCTATATGTGTTTGGTAGGTTATTCCTCCAACCTAGTAGGTCTACTGAATGATGTCTTTTTGCTGTTTATTAATGTATATAACTTCCCACCTCACATTAGGTGACAGAACAGGTGCCTGGTTAATATGTACAACTTTCTACCTCATATAAAATCAGGCACCAGCATCAAGTGCCTCAGAATAGGGAAAATCTTGATAGAGCATGATTACTTCCTGTTATTTCCCTTTTGCACTATCTTTAACAAAACTTGCAAAAGGTACTGTGAAATATAGTTGACATTAACAGTGTGTGAGGTGCTCAAGAGAATAGCTCATAGGCCCAGCCACTGATAAATATTTCTTGAGCACCTGAGCCCAATGGAGTATACCAGGAATTGTGGGGCTATCCCTTCAGAAATAAATAAGGCAACTCTCAATTCAGAGCCTTGAAGATTAATGTGACAGCAGGTCCAATACTGTCTTTAAGAATCAAAGGAGACTTAACATTTAAGAGAGGGAGGTTTAAAGGATTTATCATCTAGATTAGGCTCTTTCATACATCTATACCCACTACCTCCCTGTGTAAATTCTAGCCTATGCTAGAGGTTGGGGGGGGAAAAAAGCGAACCACCTATTAGTTCTTCTCCTTGGATCACAATGAAAAAGACAAAAACTCCTTATAATGCTGTGTTCCAAGGGCTCTAGGTTTTGTCTATTAACAAAAGTTTTTCAACTGGTTTATATTTTTCTACAGTCATTACTTCAGAGTCTGGCTATACCCATATACTTACAGATGTGATTCTAAATTGAAAAGGAACTTAGGAAATATTTTACTTTCTTCATGGTCTTTTATCTGCTGTTCCATCTAATGGGAAAATTTCCCCTGGACCACTTTTTCTTGCCTCACTAATTACTGCTCATCCTTTACGTCATTTCTGCCATTTCTTTAAGTCCAAGTCAGGAGTTCCTTAAAAATCACAAAGCACTAATCACACCACTGTGTTACTGCTAATGGCTGCCTTGCCCATTAGATCACAAGGATTATACCTTACTTTCCATTGTATGTCTATGACACAAATCTGAAAAGGTAACTGTTGGATAAAGTAATTTATATTCTTCATGTCTATTCAATTTCTGATGTGCTCTGGGATCAACAAAACAATAATGAACTGTTTCCTTCTTATTGCCTTGTTCTATATTGGTGCAGTAAAACCTTTTAGGTTCCTGAGACAAAGTCCCTCCCTCATACTACACTATGTCCCAAACTAGCACACTCACAATTAACTGTAGCCACAAAGCCTAGATCCCTACCCCCTTTTCATGGCATTTTGATAGAAAATGAAACATCAACATTATATTCCCCATTTTTCCTCTTTCCTGAGTATTTTTAACAGTCAAAAAAAAAGCTGAGGGGCTGGGGACACAGCTCAGTGGCTTAAGCGCCTGCCTGGCAAGCACAAGGTCCTGAGTTCGATCCCTAGTACCAAAAAAAAAAAAAAAAGCTGAAAGCAGTGATTCTCCCATTATTTTTGATTAATCATAGGACAAGCTTTTATGGGACATCACTCTAGCATTAGAAAGTGGTGCAGAAAGCTAGAATGATTCAAGACCTGGTGTTTACTACTTTAATGAAATCGTGCTCCCAAGTAAAACCATTTAACAAAAATGAAAATATGACTATTTACAGTAGTAATGGTATTTACAATTTACTTCATAGTATGGACTCTCTGATGGCGAACAAGAACTGATTTGTGCCTGAAAGCCTTCCCACACTCACTACATATATAAGCTTCTTCCCCAGAATGGATTCTCTGATGCTGAACAAGGGCTGACCTCCTTTTGAAGGTTTTACCACATTCATTACACTGATAAGGTTCCTCTCCACTGTGAATTCTCTGATGTCTGATGAGGTTTGAGCTTAGACTGAAGGCCTTTCCACATTCATTACATTCATAGGGTTTCTCTCCACTATGTATCCTCTGATGGGTAATCAGCTCTGAGCTCTGCCTGAAAGCTTTCCCACATTCATTACATTCATAGGGTCGTTCTCCTGTATGAATTCGCTGATGTCTAATAAGTTTTGAGCTCTGGCTAAAGGTTTTTCCACACTCATTACATTCATAGGGTTTCTCACCAGTGTGAATTCTCTGATGTATAATAAGATATGAACTTTGACTGAATGCTTTGCCACACTCATTACATTTGCAAGATTTTTCACCAGTATGAATTTTCCGATGTCTAATGAGGGCTGAGCTCTGATTGAAGGCTTTTCCACATTCACTGCATTCATATGCTTTCTCACCACTGTGGATTCTTTGATGAATAATAAGATATGACCTTAAACTAAAGGCTTTCCCACACTGGTTACAAGTATAGGGTTTTTCTCCAGTATGGATTCTCAGATGTTGTGTTAGAGAAGAGTGCTGCTTGAAGCTGTGGCCACACGTATCACATCTATAAGGTTTCTCTTCTGTTTCACGTTTCTGAATTGGTACAGAGTTGGCACTTAAAATCAGATATCTTTGAGGGTCATCAAGATGGTCTCTCTTTCCTAAAGATTTATGTGTGACAATCACTTGCCTAAAACTGCTTCCTTGAGGAGGGGATCGTCTTAATTTTTCCCCCGAAGCACTTCTTCGCTGCCACTCTAAGTTGCTTTCATGCTCAGCAATTCCTCCAAATGAAGATTCGTGAGAGGGTTCCTCTGCTTTTTCTCCTGAAATCTTCTCCTTTGTTGTTGTCTTACTGTGCTCACAATCTGAAACGTTAAATAGCAAAAGTAACAGACTTATATTTCTTTCTTTTTTTTTTTTGCCAGCTTAGCCTGCCCTGAGGGCGGTGATGGCGCAGCATGTGGTGCAAGAGATCAAACTGTGGTCCCCTGTGCCTTCCTAAGCTTGCCTAAGCAGGTGCTTCAAGCTACTGAGCTATCTCTCAGCCTGTGATTTGCATTTCTTTAGTCACTAAATATTAATTTTCCTCATGAGAGAAAATAGAATTAACCCATAATGATGTCACAGTTTACCTGTAATTTTTCTTCAACTAGTTCACAGGGTCTTTCATCTTTTTTTTTTTTAAGGGTCTACAGGGTTTTCAGGGTCTCACTACTAGATTGGATTCTTAGCAGTCTGTTTACAGCCCCCTAACAGCTGGGATTACAGGTGCATGCCACCACGCCCAGTCTTTCATCTTTTTTAATGCTAATGCCTTTACCTACACTCTAGATTTTATCTTTTTCTGCCTTCTCTGAGCCTTGATCAGTACCCAGTATTTCTATTGTTTATAGCCTCTTTTGTTACTGACTCTTGTTCATCACCATCACTGACTCTGTCTCATTTTCTTAATTATTTTATTGTCTTTTTTTTTTTTTTTAAATTCTGTACAGGGTCTCACCACACAGCTCAGACTCAGTGATCCTCCTGTCTTAGCCTTCCCAATGTTGTGATTACAGGCATGTGCCACCACACCCAGTTTCAGTGGCCTGCACGGTATGCCCAGGGTTCCAGAGCCAGTGTGGCATGCAGTACCGGGGATCGAACCCAGATCCTTGTGCTTGCCAGGCAGGTGTTTAGATTGCTGACCTATCTCCAGGCCTTTATTGTCTTTTTTGAGACAGGGTTTTTCTATGCAGTTTAAGCTGGCCTTGAACTCATTTTGTAGCCCAGGCAGGCCTCAAACTTGCAGTGATCCTCCTGTCTCCATCTCCTAAGTGTTGACTCTCACCTTTTTAAAACCAAGTGCCTTGCCCACACATCTCTGCCAAGCAGCCTCACTCACTCCCATTCACAGTAAAGTTTCTTGAAAGGGATGCATCTGGTTTCTGCCTTACTCTCCTCTCTTCCTGCCACTGCCACCACTACTCTTTTAAAGGTCACCAACCTAATTGTATAATCCAATTCAGAGTTCTTGGATCTGTCATATTTAGCCTCTATAGCACTGACATTGGGGACTATAGTTTACTTCTAAAGATACTCTCTTCCAGCCAATATGGACCTGATTTTTGTGGCTGGTCCTTCTTAGATGCCAGGATTGGTAACACACACTAGTGTTCTTCCAGTTTCTGTTTTGGGCTCTCATCTATCTTGACTGCAAAATTTCTATGTTTCAATTTCCACTTGCACTATATGGTAATACCTCCTCATATCCAGTTCTATCCCAATTCTGTTAAGCTCTAAACTCTCATGTCAGCTTTCAATTTGTTATTTTCTTTTTTTAAATGATGTTCACTACAGCCTAACTTAGTACTACTCTTTTTTTGGGGGGGCGGGCAGGGCAGAACTCGAGATTGAACTCAGGCCCTTGCGCTTGCCAGGCAAGCGCTTATTCTACTGAGCCATCTCCCTGGCCCCCAGTATTATTCTTTTATCTGGTACTAATTTCTTATCCACTTTAAAGATTTTTATTAGTGTATATTTGTAATACATGATTATATTCATTGTGGGGAGTTAGCACATATACATAACAAATTTTAATTCTTTTTACTTCCCTTCCCCATCAGTTGGGTATTTTCCTTGTGAATCTTTCACAAGCACCAAAACATCTAAAACTAAGCACATCACCAGCTATTTGTTTTTCCTTGATTTTCCCATTTAGATGAATACATAAGGGGCACCACTATTAACCAGGTTGTTCAATGCTAAAATTTGAGCATCACCATCAATCTCTCTTGGGCATGCTCTGCTTTTTAACAATGACCAGAGTGCAGTACAATTTTAATAAACATGAAAGGCATTCAGCTCTGATGTTTTCCAACCCCCTACCATAATACATTTTGGACACTTGAGTTAGAAATCTCAGAAAGCCTCTAGTCTTGCCTTCTTCAAATCTACCTTCTCCACTGCAGCTAAGGTATAAACTGCAAAACCAGCCACTACTCCTTTGTGCCATACCCTTTGGCTTATCCCTTTTGGGTTTAAGAAACTATTCAAATGAATTAATATGACATACAAGTTTTCACAGGTCCTATTTTCTTTCCTAGGTCTCTCCCCAGTCCTTCCGTATCAATTCTCAAGTTAGACTGAACTACCTACAATTAAGTACTTTGTAGCCTTCACTTAGGCCACTTGTCCCTCTACTTATTTATTTGGCTTCCTTCTACTCGAAAATAGTTCAAATCTCAGCTTAGGTGACTCTTCCTATACAAAACTGTCTTTAAACCTGTGAGACTGGGTTAGGTGCCATTATCTGTGGTTTTACAATACTCAGTTCCTATTTTCAGGCCATAATTTACTATACTGAATTGATTACCACTCACTTAGACCTGATAGCTCCATGAAGATAGGAGACTTACCATCACATAGGTGTAGATGCCCACAACAGTGTCAAACATGTATATAACCACCTAGAAACTGACACAGAGGGCTGCCTACAATGCATGAGGGCTGATGAATACACTTCTGGTTTAGAAATATAAATATGATGCTCACGTGTGGTAGGTTTGTAGATACAATTCATTCTGTATCTTCAAAACCAGAGTCCTAACTGATATGACTTCCCAGACAAGTTCCCATTCCTCACCACTTCTAGGGGAAAGGCAAGGTTTCCAGGATTTCAGCTGTGTCTCTAAAGGCTGAAGTTGGATGTTTGTTGCCTCTTGGGAACTTCCAAGAAATGTCAACTCCTTCCACGGCACTGCTGGTCCCTGTGGATTAGCTGGGACCTGAAATCAGTAAAATATCAGCTTTGTGAGAAAATTCCTAGGGCACTGCTTAGTCAAAACCAACAGGTCACTAACAGATGAAGGATAAGGGGAAAAATTTGAGTGTAGAGACAGGTATTGCCCTGTCAATCACTTTAGGGTCATGCAGAAACATAGAACTTCATCCTACTGTCAGGACAGGGGGGCCTGCTTTTAGTTGTCATTTAAGTGTCTGCTCATGCAAAGGCAGTCAGGAGCAGGATACCGTGGGTGGATCCTCAGCTCCACCTGCCTTACCAGACCTACCCTTCGGGCAGCCTGAGCCACCAAAATAAATAAATTTAAAAAAAAAAAATTTTTTTTAAATGCTTCAAAAAAAAATCCTGTCAGGACACTATACTCCAGGCTGTAAATTCCTTTTCCCACAACACATCCTTTTCTGTGTTCCCACCTGCTGCCCTGGATCATCAAATTCTCTCTCCAAATCCTCCAACAGGGTCACAGCTTCCTCACCACTTCTTGGACTCTGCTGTTGAACCCAGATCTGTAGCTCCTCAGGCAGGATGCTCAGGAACTGTTCAAGCACCAGGAGTTCTAGGATCTGCTCCTTAGTGTGCAACTCTGGCATTAACCACTGATAGCACAGCTCCTGGAGTCGGCACAGGGCCTCCCGGGGCCCGGGTGTCTCATGGTAGCAAAACTTTCTAAATTGCTGTCGAAATAGTTCTTGGCAGGATTGGGTATCCCCATTCTGTTTAAATTTTGGGCCCCAGGAAAAGCTGTCTTCTATTTTCACTAGTATTAATCCTTGCTCCTGATGATCTTGAGGTATCAGAGTTGAAATCACACCGGAATCCTTGGCCATTCTGGACTGAAACAGCTTAGTGAAAACTCAGTTCAGCTGGTTTCTGTGCTTCAGAGTTTCTTTGAGTAATAATCACTTTCCTCTTTTTTTTGTAATGTATATGGTGCAGGGTCCCACAGTCACGTCTTTCCTAAAGGATATAAAACCACAGTTGACTTGGAGCAAGGAAAAATAAATCTCTTAAGAATCTTTAATAATAAAAAAGTTACTCTGAGGGGCCAGGAAGATGGCTCAGCAGAATAATCGCTTGCTTGGCAAGCACAAGGGCCTGAGTTCAAGGGCCCCAGTTCTGCCAAAAAAAAAAAAAAAAAAAAAAAGTTACGCTGGTAATCTTGAAAACAAGTAGGTGTAAGATTATAATTAAACAATAATCAAATGACAAACTAAAAATCATGCACATTATTACAGGAAATTATCTTAGAAGCAAAAGAATACAGTATTAACATGAATCATAAATTGAGCAATTTCCCTTTAAATTTCTTTTACCCTGAATCAAGAAGAAAAGCTGTCTGTAACGTAAATTTTTTATTACTTTTAATACAATTTAGAACTTGTACTTCCAAGGGTAATAAATATCCAGGTAAACTTAATAATACTGATTTTAAAAATTTATTTGTAGTTGCCTTTTATCTATAGCAGGGTTAATTTTTATTCAAGAGTACTGAAAACTTTTTAAAAACTCACGTCAAAGATGAGTTGACTTACACCATTTGGTCCCAACTGGTATTTATTAAACTTCCTCAACAGACACTGGCGCACCCACGGCTCTGTCCTGAGCCCGCATTAGCTGAAAAGGGTTTTGCTCGCAAATGAATCTACAGAGGAATTAAATTGGAAAACGCTGCCCGTGTGTTTAAAAACAGGTACCATGGGCACGGACAGATCACCTTAAGGTCAAATCACTACTCTGGGAGAGAAAAAAAAAAGTTATTTAAACTATCTATGGCAACATTTATGTACTGCATTTCTGATGGAGAGGAAGCATAGACACGAGTGGGGGTCGCCTTAGACACGAGTGCCCTTCGGTTCAGGCACAACTTAGTAGGACCGGATCCCACCTAGCGCTACGGCTGTGCCACGCTCAACCCGAGATCAGCTGGCTCTTAGGCCACACATCTCGGGTTAGCTGGGGCGGGCTGCGCTCGGACCTTCTATTTTTTGTGTCCCTGGTTAAACCGCGGCGTTTGCGGAGTCACGGGAGGAGGGACACGGCAGCGCTCTCCCGCAGACCAGGGAGCCGGGACGGGGACGGCCAGGTGAAGAGCGGGGTTCTTCCTCCTCCAGCCCGAGCTGGCGCTGCGCGGCCACCCTGCCCTCCCTCCGCCACGGGGCCCGCGTCGCTCACCGCGAAGCCAGCAGGCAGCCGGGGCCCAAGCTGCAGACCCGAGGGGCCAGCCACAAAGACCGGAAGTGCGCGCCCGCGGCCTTCCGCTCGCGAGCCCCGTAGCCTCTGCTCGCCCCGCCCCTTTCCTGCGGGCAGCCAATAAGCGCCGCGGCTTCCCCTGCGGCTAAAGGCTTAGCTGCGCGCTGTGGTCTGGCAGAGTCGGAGGGTACGAGAGGTTGAGTTGTGCCTCCCGGCTCCCCAAGAAGGGCGGCCCGCAGCTTGGTGGTCACCCCTGTCCTCCGGTGTAGCCTCCCTCCCTGGCCTTCCCCCGTCATCTATCTCTTGTCAGGTCCTTCCCGACTCATCCACTCCAAGTTTTCCAGGAAACTGTTCGAGTCTTTTCCAAGGTCCTTGGCTAGGAAAAATGGGTTGAGCAAAAAGCAGCAGACACTTAACACCGCCCTTCATGCATGGTTGGAGCGTTAGGACTGCTCTACGCGGTAGCTGCCCTGTCCTCACTTTACAGCGTAGGCAGTGCCCAGAGTCGTGCAGATTGAGATGGGGTGTGTGCATGTCCCTGGAGTTGAATCTCTTGGTCCTGAGTCCTGAGCCTAAATGTTTTTTCCACTTTGCACGGGACTCTGGGTGGCAAAATGTCTTACATTTGTTTGTTCTTCTCAGTTTTGTAGGTGATTGTCTCAGTTACTTTTCTGTTGGTGCTGGAACCAAACATTTGACACCCAAAATTGAGGAAGGAAGGTTTAGCTCAATTAATGGAGGTTTCAGTCGATATGCAGCTGGGTTCCAAGGCAGACTGGCACATGACAGAGGGCGGCAGCAGCAGCAGCAGCAGACAGCAAAGAGCAAAGGGAGCCCTCTTTTATATTGTATGCAGATTATCCACCCCACGGCCAATGTAGAACTCTCACCCATAATCCACCCCCCACACACACACTGGATCATGAATTAATCACAAACTCCACAAGCCGCCCCAATGCCTGCATGAGGCTTTAGGGGGACAACTAGACACAAACCATAGCAGTGATAAATCTCATGTTACTGAAACGTGAGAGGTGAAGATATTTCCTCATGTTAATTGACCATTTATGGTTCTTTAGAGGAATGGCTTTCCCCATTAAAAAAAAAATAAGGTGCTAGTATTTTTTTAAATTTGTGAGTAGGTTTTTCTTTTTATTTCTTAAAGATATCAATAGTTATATTTTTCACTTAGTTATATTTATTTATTTATTTATTTTATTTATTTATTTTTATTTTTTTTTTGCGGAATCGGGGATTGAACTCAAGCCCTTGCGCTTGCCAGGGAGGCGCTTATTCTACTGAGCCATCTGCCCAGCCCCTTAATTATTTTTAAGATGTAAGTTAAAATGATAAAATCGTGATGCATTGAAGCAAAATTTCCTTTATTAAGACAAACCACAGATATTCTGGAAACAAATGCTCATTAGCATCCAGTGCTTTTAATAGCTCAATGGGTCACAATCACTGAAATGACAACAGCAATTTGTTGAAGAAAAAAGAAGTAAACAAATTTGCTGTTCAGTAGTATTACATAAAATACTACAAGACTTAGTGACTCCATATAGCAAATGTTTTATTGTTCACAATTATGTGGCAGGAGTTCAGGCAGGGTTTAGCCGATATTGGTAGTCTGTACTTTGTTAGATGTCAGATTTAGTGGATTATCTGAGGTTAGGTGGCTCCACTTCCATTGCTGGGGTCTTGGTGCTGCCCTTAGCTGGGAGCTACTTGATTCTTCCAAGGCCTCTCTCCCTGTAGCTAGTCTGTCATCTGTCATTTAAGCTTTCTTACGTGGTGGCTGTCTTTCAAGAGAGTGAAGAAGGAAGGGAAGATCCTAGTTATTTTAAAGCTTGGATCCAGATCTGGCATTGTCATTTTTGCAGTATTTTATTGATAGACTAGTAGATTCATGAGAGGGGGAATTGACTTTACCTTTTATTTAGAAGAGCAGCTTGAGTGTAAAAAATTTTCAAAATAAAATTTAAAAAAATTATTCTTGCATTCAACCAACTGCACTTCATTATATTGAAATATTTAAGCCTACATTTTAAGAATGTAGCTGTTAAAAAAAAAAGGAAGGTATATTAGTTAAAAATACTTTCCATTGCATCATAGAAACTTTTAAATGTCTTTATTGTTAAATCTTACATAAATATATGTAATGGAGGAAAGGCTACTCCCAGATTGGCCAGGTCAGTGTCTTGGCGCTATTGTCAAAGGCTCAGGTTTTCTCCTTTTTCTGCCGCACTTCACTGTTTGTTGGTCTTCAGTCTAATTCCCTTACGCACCTAAGGTAGCGCTTTCAGTTCCAACTTATAGATGTTGGAAACAAAAAAAAAAGGTACCTCACCCCCCCCTTTATCCTTCTGCCCCCTTTTTAAGACTAAGGAAACCCTCTTCACACATCAGATTTTCCCCACATGTCTCATTAGCTAAAAATGCTTCAAGTACTTACATTTAGGTGAGGAGACTGAGGCCTCAATGATGGGTTTAGGGAATTCAGATTCCTATCCTGGGACTGAAGAGTGGACCACCCTATCCTGATGATGCAGACCTTCTGGGGAAAAATGTTGAAATACTATAACTTTTTTTTTTTTTTTTGTACTGGGAATTGAATCTAGGATCTTTACACTGAGCTCTACCCCTAGCCTATTTTCTATTTCCAGTAAGGGTCTTTAAGTTTACCATGCTGGGGTGGAACTTGTAATTCTCCTGTTGTTAGGAGTGATGACTGTCCTAGGTTCTTGGTATCCCCAAAAAAGAATTGAGCAGGACACACAGAAGTGGAAGTGAGTATAGATTTATTAGCAGCAGTGCACTGCTCAGGGTGGGAATGGGCTAGTGGAAAGAGCTCTCAGCTCAAGGAAGCTGGTGTATGTCTCTACGTGATTTTGACAGGAAGGGAGTAGCTCTGTGAACTCAGAGGGCAGTTCGTGCTAATCAGGAACAAGTCTTTCTGTTGGAGTGGGAAGTTTTTGTCCCTGTATGGATCTTTCAGAAGCTGTCATGGCACCCAGAGCTCATATGTGAGTGTCAAAAACACAATATAAATGAGATTATAATTCATTATAGTTGAGTTGGGAGTTACTTTTGGTTGTTTAAGATGTTCCATAGTTCATGTGCCTCTAGGCATGGCTTAGTGGTAAGAGGTGGGCACTGTTTATGGTTTCTGGAGAAGTTATCTCAGCCCTCCAAAAAACCTACAGTGCATACATCCTCTTGTCTACCTGCTGTGGTGTAGCTGTTAGAGATGGACACTGCAGTTTTTGGAAAGCCAGCTTACTGTTTTCCCTCCTGTGGGAAATATTCTAATTTTTTGTTTGTTTAAGACAGAGTTTTGCTGTATAGTTCAGCCTGACCTTGCTCTCACCTCCCTCCAGGAAATTCTCCTCTCTACCTCCTGTTTCACTCCTACTTCAGCCTCCCAGAGTGCTGGGATTATAGGCCAATATCACTGGCCTAGTCTCACATAATGTTTAAAAGCAGAAGAGGAGGATAAGTAGGTGAATGTTGAGTATGCTACAGTGACATCTACAGTATTCCTCATTTAATGACCTGCCTGTTGAACGACTGTTCCAACTTAAGACCCAACATTCGGAGTTACGGCCTTTTTTTTTTAATGTATTTGGTTGTTACAGGTTTCCACCATGCAGCTTGGATTTGTGGTGATCCTCCTGTTTTCAGTCTCCCCAGCACTGGGATTACAGGTGTGCACTACACGCCCATACTGTGGCTGGCTCAGCCTGCCCTAGACTGGGGCTAGTGCAGCACATGGGACTGGGGATCAAATGGTCCCTGCACTTTGCCTAAGCTTGCCTAAGTAGGTGCTTTAGTCTGTTGAGCTGTCTCCCCAGCCCTATG